TATATATATATATATATATATATATATTTATCTATGCATGCTTGGGATAGGCCATTGTGTCATTTATTTCTTTGTGACTCCCCCTTATTCTGCTTCTTCACCCCCCCTCACTTGTACATTGTTACTGATCATATGGCGCAAAAATACTCCTAAGAATTTTTTGGGTCGATTTCAGCCTCAGAGTCTTGATTCTCTCTACAACATAAGTGAGGGAGATTCTGAGCCTCTACGTTTCTGACCCTGCTATCCAGCTTCCGACCGGCAGCCATGAGCGGACGATGGGTCATTTCTCTCTGGATTTGATTTTCTATAAAGATCAGTTTAAAATGGGTATTCATCAGCTGTTTTGTAAGGAAATTCAATCGATTTTCGGATGGTATGGGATTATACTTGTGATGAATGCGAAGGGTACATAAATGTATTTAGATTGTATGCTCCAGATCCAGCTCTTTGGTGGATGTTGTAGGGGTCATTCCATATTTGATCCAGCTTCCTAATAGTCTTCCCCTTGGCGGTGAGGATGACCTTCTTTAGCATTAGGTCCCCTGAGGCAAACTTCTCTTTGTGTATGTGTTTGTTAAAATATTTGCTCATCCTTTGCTTGACTTGTTCTTATTGGATGGCTAGATTGGCTTGATTCTACTCGACCAGATCTAGTGTGAGCTTTATTCCCTAGCCGTTTATCTCAAGCCAACCTTCTAGATCCTCCTGGTCAGTATTCGAGGCAGAGAGTACTCTCTAGCTGTAATTGTTGTATTTGACCGATAACATGACTTCCATTCTGTGGGACAGCAAAAAAGATTTATGTCTGGTGGACATGGACGATGTTGTTTGGATCACCCAAAGTATCAAGGGGATTAGGTATGCCCATTTGCCCTTTTCTCCTACTTTTTTCCTTAGCAAATTCAGGATGATTTTATTTGTAGCCTCTGTCCGACAATTAGTTTGAGGCTGATGCATAGAAACAAATTTGAGGTTGATCCCCTGACTCTTATAGAAATCTTGAACTCCCTTGCTGACGAATGGTGTTTCATTCTCTGTAACGATGTGGAGGATTATATATATCAACAAATTAAGACAATCCAGATGAAGTTCAAGACTACCTTCGTTGTTATGTTCACTAGAGGCCTTGCTTCTACCTAATTGAAGAAATAATTGAGGACCACCAGTAAGAACTTTTGCTCGAGGGGGAAAAGGTCCTAGGATGTCGAGGCCCCACATGACAAACGACCAAGGACTGATGATTGGGTGAAGTTTTTAGACCAGTTGATAGTGTAATGGTCCATATCTCTGAGATTATGTACATCTTCAAAAATATTCTTTGACATCCTTGAGCAACATTGTTCGGAAGTAAACTTATCGTTGAATTTAGTGAGTTAGCTTCTTTCCTCCATAATGACTTCCACACTCCCCTACAGTGAACATTTTGGACAATGTCTTAAACCTCGTCTTCCCCAATGCGCTTAGGTATAAGGATGTGGCTGACATTTTGAAGTGTTTTTCTTCGACTAGTAGAAATTGAGTAGCCTTATATTTGAATCTCTTGTATTCAGTGATTTCTTTGCCGATCTATTTCTTTGTTGATCTCCCCCGTGCTTAGGATCCGAATGTATGAACTCATCCAACTTCTTTTCCTCCTAATAAATCTTCATTGCTAGTGGTTCTTCGATCGAGGGTTGACAAAATCATTTAGGTAGTTCTCCTTTTAGATGAAGGACTTGGGATAAAAGGTTGATCACTTATTTTTCCACCCTTCAAACATAATAGATTTTGAAGCTGGTGAACCGATCGATCTCCATCTTCACCTACTCTAGGCACTTCTCCATAGTCTTATCCCTGATTTACAATTCTCGTTTATCTAGTTTACTGTGAGTTGTGAATTAGCCTTTACCATTATGTAGAGGACTCCTATTTCTGAGGCTAGGTGAAG